TCTCTCTCTCTCTCTCTCTCTCTCTCTCTCTCTCTCTCTCTCTCTCTCTCTACGAGTTCGGCTCTTCCCGTCGAAGCATTTTAGGCGCTTGGAAAAGAAGCCCGAAAACGAAGTAGATCTAAGCCAAGTTTTATTGTAATATTCGTGGTTGAATCATTTTGAGGCCCAGAAGATCGCCCGAATTTCTCAGATGATCCACATTTCGATTCATAATTCCACCTTGCTTTTATATAATTATTCCAGATAATATTCGCCAAACCAACCGGACGGATTCTGACTGGGCTAAGCCAGTCTAAATTTGGTAACACGTATTAGCGGGTTGACTCAAGTCAGAAATAGCTCGGTAACGAATGGAACCATATAATGTGAAGGTCAAAGATTGTATGAAATATTGATCCACTGCTTTCCATTTTGTTTATGTAGTCAATGTGCAGAATTTAAATTATACTATGGTTTTGCTTAGACTAAATTCACATATTTGTAGTTCTAAATAACAATCAATAAATGTTTCATAAGGCTTACAAAGAATCGCAACATTTCCCCGATATCGAAAAAAAAAATATCCATGCTTGTTTTGTTTTTTCTTTATTTAAAGTGGCTTTTCTGTTGTTCTGTTCATTGTTGTAATTTTACTCAATTTTAGTCTTGTATCCCTTACCCAAGCATTTATTAAGGGTTGCTGTTGATGAAATACTTCATTGAATATACTCCATGAATGAGGAGTCCTTTGGTATTGTGACTGGGAGTTCTACCTACAAAATCAACTATCTATGCTTGGTCCCGTAAATCATCCCACATTTCAGTGGAGAGGCGATATGGTATTGACAGTGGCGGTGGGTAGTGAAGGGCTTACGGGCTTGAGCCCCTCACCCCCATCCCCTCCCCACCCCAACTCTATCCCTTAGTTAATGAAAGTTTCTTAAATAACGAAATAAGCAGTTGAAACCGTCATGATCGCATGCAAGGAACACACAGTTATCAGTTTGGCGGCTTGCCCGTTTATCCAATCATTGTTGTCACCGCTTACAACTATAGTAACCTAACAGCCAATCAAATGTCGTTAGGGCTCTGAAAGAATAAGCCGGTTCCCACGCCCGTCTTTAATGCAACTCTTCTTGTAAAAAGGTAGAAGATGGGTTTTTTAAAATAACACTGCACAGAGGGCTCACGCTCTCCCAGCCCTGACAATGGGGTGAAAGTTAACGACACACTTTCCCTCAGTGACACAGATACCTAAGCGCCCATTGGGCCTTTGTTAGGCGCGTTCTATTTTCCGCAACAACACGACCCAATCCACATCA